GCTTAATTTTGATTAGTACTAACCTTAATTAGTAGTCACTTTAAATAACGTTTTGCTAGCTTCAGCTTCCTTGTTTGCTCTTTAGCCCAAGACATTCCAAGTTTGTAGACATCTCCAAGCTTATCCACGATCTCTGATATATCAAATGCTTTGCTGCCTTCAGCTGAGAAATAATCTAGTCCCTGAAGTGAGGTGCGCACAGATGCAGAACAAACTTTGAGTATTCTGTACAGAGTGCTGCGGCTAAGAGGTGCATTAAATTCATTCTCCTGGCAGTAGCTTTGGTATTGCTTTATAATTTGGTCTGGTATTTGGTCCTGATGACGTTTGGTATCTTGATCTCTGTAGCGCATGACATCTTCAAAGTCTTCTCTCCATAAGGAATGTCTTGGATTGCTCTTGAACTAGTAATAAAAGCTAGGAAATGATCCAGCTTGTCAATGGATACTTTAATTCTTGTGTGTTTCTCAGGAGCAACTTCGGTACCTCTGCCATGGAGTAGAAGATGGTTTCTTGTTATGTTGTAGCGATGCCTAGTTATATTGGGAAGCCATTTTTGGACAAGGTTGAAGCTTACTTTGTCGGCAAAGATGGATAGAATTTGTCGGCGACACCGCCAATGATTGGCATTCTCGTAGCATTTGGCCAAGCAGGGGCGGATTTAGACTAGTGAGATTTTTCAAAAAAAAGATGTAGTTGAAAGCGATACTAGTGAGATTTTTCAAAAAAAATATGTAGGTGAAAGCGATACTTCAAATAAAATCATATAAACGAAAAGAATATGGAGTATTCATGTATGGTAGATGGCACTACGATCGCTTTGGCCGCCATTTTGAAAGTTGTACCACAGGAAACCCACATTTACTACTTGGAATATAAACTTCTTTGTTCTTGTGGGAGGGGACCCATCGAAATGTTTGACACAAGACTGTCGATCACGAGCCCAGAGTCCCCCAATGGCTCTTAGACAGCGGACTATCGCTTGAGAGTGCACTAGTGCAAAATGACGTAGCACTGATTCACATAGGAATCCCGACNATTTGCATAATGTACATGCGCAGTACTCCCCCCCAAAAAGTGATTTTCGCTTGGCACTATATCCAAAAATGTTTGTATTAGGAAGGTCAACATCCATGCCAAGTTTCATGCTTTTATCATAAAAGTGAACAATTGAGGGTATTTTTTGACATAAACAGCCTCACTATTATGTTCCTTTGCGAATTTTTAAGGAAAAAAACTCTGCTCGCAGGGTAATTTAATTGGAGTTCAGAAAAAATATTAAAATACACAAATCAGTCCAAATATAGTTAGCTCAAATTTACTTTAAGTGCATTTAAGTAGTGATTATGCCTACAATCTATAAAACAGGCATAAAAATCATATAAGACATTCTTTGATTTCATTTTTATTGAGATTTATAACATACACAAACAGCAATATTATCAGTAAAATGCATAAAAGACAGATTATTAGATTCTTTATTAGGCTATACAAATTTCAAACAATTTGGTATTAAAACGTTCATATAATTAATTTAAAAACAAATACCGAAACCACCTCGATAAATACTTGATACACCTGACTTCAATGAACGAGCAACTGACACATGTGCACACGAAACTCTGTTATGCTCGTTTCATAGTGGTTGCAACTTTACAAGAATGGCTCCGACTGTTTTTGGCCAAGAAAGGTCTGGAGCTGACTAATATATTTTAATCTGCCGGGTTTCCTGTGTTTTTGTACAAACAATGTATTGAATCGAAGTGAAGATTTCCTTGCTTGACATTTAGTTTTTAAGTGGTTCTCATGAGACCCAATTTAAGTTATAACTAGACGCTCTTGGAGCGTGAAGTCGTGCTAGCTATTTTGGAAAATTGAGAAATTACTTGGATTTGCGAATACGTGAAGAGCGAAAGAGATAGATAGATACTTTAATGCAAATAAAACTAGCAGCCACAGGGCTGAATTATGTTATCACTTACAAAAACAATACTCCAATTTCGAGTTTTGGTTTGCTCTGTGTTAGCCTCAAAACCAAGGGACCTTTCATTTATTATGCCTCGGGGTGGGCTGGAGGAAAATTAGGGTGGGCTACGAAAAGTTATTGCTTGACAAAGGGTGGGTTTCTCACACTCTTTTACTTCTAAAGGGTGGGCTATTGAAAAGTAAATATGTATTGAATGGAACTTGAACAATTTAATAAATTCACAACATTTTAACTATGACCTGGTTTCCAACATTTCCTAAACTAAAGTAAACAATGGCAATTTTTACAAACAAAGTGGATATATGAAGAAGTACATAGAACAATTTTATTTAATCCATGATATGAAAAAAATATTACTAAATACTAGTTCAAATAGTAACTAATAGTTGATATCACTCAACCAGAACAGTTTATGAAAGACAAAGAGAGTAAATACACAAGAGCCCTATTAACAACAATCGAAATGTATTTGATATGGTTGAGTGATATCATTAT